GTATTCATCAGGGACTTTGATGTGGGCATGAAGTGTACTCTGTCCAAGTTTGTGGATGATACTATATTGCGGGGAGAAGTGAACATACCAGAGAGTAGGGAGTGATTGCAGGTGGACCTGGACAGGTTGGAAAAGTGGGCAAAACACAATAGGATGCAGTTCAACAAGGACAAATGGGGAGTGCTGCACCTAGGGCATAAAAATATCCAGCACACTTCCTGGCTGGGGAATGACCCTCTCAGCAGCACAGAAGTGGAAAGGGATCTTGGAATCATAATGGACTCCAAAATGAACATGAGTCGTCAGTGTGACGATATCATCAGCAAAGCTAATCACACTTTATCATGAATTAGCAGATGCATGATGAACAGATCCAAGGAGGTTATACTTCCCCCTCTATGCCGCATTGGTCAGACCACAGTTGGAGTACTGTGCCAGTTTTGGGTGCTGTACTTTAAGAAGGATGCGGATAACCTCGAGAGGGTCCAGAGTAGGGCCACTCATATGGTTAACGGTTTGCAGACCAAGCCCTATGAGGAGAGACTAAGGGAATTAGATATCTTCAGCCTCTGTAAGAGAAGGCTGAGAGGTGATCTTGTGGCCACCTACAAATTAATTAGGGGTAGGTAGCAAGGAACTGGAGATGCTTTGTTCACCAGGGCGCCTCTTGGGGTAACAAAGAACAATGGTCACAAACTGACAGAGAGTAGATTTAGGCTGGATATCAGAAAGAACTTCTTCATGGTAAGGGTGGACAGAATTTGGAACAGGCTTCCAAGGGAGGTGGTGCTCTCCCTTACCTTGGGGGTCTGTAAGAGACGGCTGGATAGGCATCTGGCTGGGGTCATCTGACCCCAGCCCTCCTCTTTCCTGTTCAAGGCAGGGGGTTGGACTCAATGATCTGTTGAGGTCCCTTCCAACCCTAGCGTCTATGAATCTATGAATTTATGAATTTCCCATAAAAATGGGTTGCCAATCTTTTCTTTCTGTATTTTCCCTTGCATTTGTTGAATGACTTCCTTCATTCGTATTTGAAGGGTTACCTTGTTCTCTTTTTAATTGTGTCAACCATTTATACACAGTGTAGTTAGTGGTATCTCCCACACCATTAACTGATCCACATCCATCACCAACTTCATGGGCTGTTCAAATAACATTTGATAAGGTTATATATATTGTTCACAAACAGTCTAGAATTAAAGGCAATTTATTAATGAAATGTATTTGTAACCTACTTTACGGGCCTCCCCTCCTTGATGAAATAATAGTGATTGGGACTCAGGAGGCTGGGCCTCTTCTTTTGCACATTGGACATAATTAACTATCCAGAGTTTCACATCATTTTACATACCCATCCATTCTGTATTTTGTTTTAATCAATGAAGAGTTTCCTTTACTTCTTCATATAACTACTGATGTGCTAGGTTTATCAGCTCTTGCTTTTCCTGTAAATCTATGGGTTAATGCAGTTTTCACACACATCCTGGTATGTTGGTGTTATAAATAGTATCTAAATGCAAATGAGATTTCCTTTATAGCCTTAAAAACATTCATTAAGGTTATTTACTAAACACACACATAGTACCTTTTTAATAAATGCCATTTTCTAAACAAGTAAACTTTACAACTTGAAACTTTCATATGAATTGTTGTTCTTTGTTTCAAAAATTAGAACAACTTTCCTGTCCAAACTGGATGGAAAGTGTCCTGGTCTGGGATCCACAGACAATATCAGTTTTTAGAGAGTATTACCAATGATTTTTATCACATTTTTATGATATTCATATACCTTTAAACTTTTAAAAACTTAAAACAAACTAACCAAACAAAAAACACACAACAGGACAAACGACACAAAACAGGCAGACAAAACAATTTTTGCTGTGGTGATAAAACCATGGCTTAGGTGAAAAAAACACTGTTGATGGTAATGAGGCCTCATAGTCTTTCAGTCACCTTTGCTACTAGATTAAATTTTACACTATGGTTTCTGCAAAAGAAAATACACAAATCTGCCAAGAAAAACTCCTTGTAGTAAAATATTATTCATATTTACACATTTACAATGCTGATGTGCAGTAACAATGCACATATTATTACAATTCTTGGGGTGTTTTTCTTGTATACATACATACATACATATATTTTATATATATATATATATATATATATATATATACACATATACACACACACATACATATATATATATATATATACACACACACACACACATACATACATACACACACACACACACGCATATATGCATATATATCTATCTATAGTGACAAGGATTATTGACATTTATTTTACTGTTTTAAATGGTTCATTGCACCATTTTGGCAACTGGAATTGGGACCTTTACAATTTTTTTCCCCAAATATGAGATCAAGGTATGCCAATACCCTTGTTACACCTTAACCAAATTGCCATTTAAAAATTTTTTTTTCCTTTTAGAGGGACAATTTTCCCCTCAGAATTTTTATTTAATAAGCTTTTGCCATATTTTTATTGCTGGGACATTATCAAATCTTTAAGGTATTTGGATAAAACAATACTTTTGTTCCCATGAATATCAATTCCAAATTATTCCAGCACATTTGTGCCAAGAAAATAACCAAAATATTATATTAGCCAAATTCAATATTAAAAATCATTTTACCCCTCCTGCCATAGCTGCTGGAACTTCAGAGTATTTTACTATACCAGGAGCTACAGCAGTTGTTACTGCATTTAAAGCGCTGAAGTTTATTCAGTTTTCAGGTTTTCTTTTTTGCTTTCAAAACAGACCAAAAATCGGGAAACTATATATATTAAACATCCATACTATCATTTCTTAACTTAACCCATTTTTATAACTTACAGTAGATAGTTTATTTCAGCCTCTAGTGTATATTTACACTGTCCTTGTGGCAGGGGAAGTTTGGTTTCTCATTTAAAACACATGCCTGTATCCTGCCCTTTTTTGATCACGAGTAGGAGCCGGGCTCCTGCCAGATCATCTCGTCAGACAAACAATGCTCCAGGGTGACATACAGAACAAGACCCAAAATCGGTATGTCTTGCCCCATCTTTTATAGCCTTGTCAATTCACCCAGTCCTCTGGGCTTTTACTGTGTTCTTTTCTGAAGGCTGATTGCTGTTGTTCTCTCACTGTTCTGGGGTGGATTCTTCTTGTTTGGTCTTTTATCTGTCTGCATTCTTCAGCTAGTCGCCAGCTAATGTTTTCCTTTTCCATAGAACACTTATGTCAAGCTACAGAGCAATACAACATGGAGTTTTTTAAGGCAATGCAAAACTAAAGTAAATACATAAGATTAAAAGCAATAGGCAAAAAGTCTATTTGTATAAAAATCTAATTTTTAAGGGTGGTACTTTTCTTCTCCCCTGACATTAGTTTCCACTTGAGAAGGCAGAAAGGAACAGGGGATGGACCAGTACTACAAAGGAATTAAGTATTCCAGGAACAATGATGGAAACCTCTTGCTGTACTAGTGAACATGCAGAAGTGTGCATAAAAACAAATATTCTCATACTGATCTCACTTATACCAAAATGCTCTTAAACCAAAATAGCTTGTCCTGTTCAAAATACTGTAACCCTTGAAGCCAGTGTCAAAACTCCTAATGACCTTGCTCGGACAAAAATAGTAATGGAATTGCTTCTGATTCACATTTCTATTGTCTTTCTCTTCTGGGAAACCAAGATTTTTTTCTGTCTTCTCTAAAAAATAAGAATGCTGTCCTCCTTGAATCTCTCCGAAAACAGTTTTGGTTAGCTTTTAGAGACAAGCTTTTCAGGATCCATTCAATCTTTTCCAATTTTATTACATTTTCATTTGCATTTCTATTTTGTGTATCACACATAGGTCACTGTTCTGCCAAGACTGTAACACCATGCATCAGTAGTGAGGCTACCTAAGGACGAACTGTCTTACAGGCTGAAAGAGTTTAACTTTTTATATGCTATTCCTATAGTTGCAAAAGAATTCTAAACAACTGTACTCACGTTTCTGAATTGCTGTATTTTGTATTGTAATAAAAGAGACAGAAAATACAGAAATTAAAGAAAAATATAAGCATTGTATATGTCAGAGTGGGGAATACAGTATATCTGGTATCTTGGTTAATATGCATGTAACCCTGTTGCTTAAAAAAAGTTGGCAGCAAGCCTCCTAGTTACTCATGTTTAAATTTTTGCAAGGTTGATTTTTACTTTTTAATATTTATCTTGTTCTTATAAGTAAAGGGAACCCTTAAATCACAGGTTTTGTTATTGAGTTAACTGCATTTGCTCATATTCAGAAAAAATGTTTCCAATGGAGGGGAGTAAAAATGGTTTGATTCCCAAAGGCAGGCATCTAGCGAGAGGGCAGCAGATTTGTGATTGGTGTTTCTGAGGATTTCTTGAGCTCTTAAGTCAGGGGATGAGCTAATAAGACAGTGTCCATTTCATTCCTTGTTTTATAATGTTCATCACATCTGCAAAATAAACAAACATTTTTATTTAAAGATGAAAGCTTAATAACATTATTTCTCATATTAGTATGTTACACAATGGCAGAAATTCCTGCCGTGTTAACAACTTGTTATTGAATATCCAAAAGGCCTTATAGGAAACTGAGCTTCTGACTGAACCTATTAAAGTAATAGTGATGTTGTCTCTGATACAGCTCACAAAAACACTATTTTTTTTTCATGTGATAGCTACTGTATTTTTCTAGGAATCTGGGTTTTTTATGGGTCACTGAGGGGAGAACTGCACCATCAGTATGATTCCAGGAAGCAATAAGCACCTACATGAAAATAACTCAAGTCCCCATCCTTAATCCCCTGCCTATCCTTTTTTATCTGATGGATTCAGTGAGGGCTGGAAGATCACTGTGCGACTGGAAACGAAAGAGAGTTAACAAAATGCGACCAGTCCATGGATAAAACAACTGAGAAAAGCCTCCACATTGTTTAGTGTTCTGGTGTCCTTCACATGCACAGGTAACAATGTGGATCACTGTGGGCTTGGTCTGCTGCTTAGCCTTTGGAGGGCTGCCTTTGGCTCACTGCTCTTGCCCTTCCCAATGTAGCTGCGCCTTTCATAGTCTCAATGAAGGAACAAAGGAAAGGTATGTTGATACTCTGTTTTTTTAGCATGGAAGAATTTCATGTTCACCTTAGGATGTGTGAAGAAGAAAACAGTGTTGTTCTGTGACTGTTTGTTTGTTTGTTTGTTTGTTATTTTTCCAATCACTTTGCACTGCAGCTTTATGTGCAGAAGGATTAGCTTCTGAGCGCACTGTAATCTGGTTTCAGAGAAAGCATTCAATGATCTTCTGTACTAGGAGAGAAGCAATATAATTAACATTGGTAGAATAGCAAAAGATGAATAAAATAAAAAATGTGTATTTTAAATTTATGGGCTGAAACTATGTCTTCAGATAGTTGTCCTGCTTCCAAGGAGAAACCAGGCTTCTCTGTACTGTGGTTTCAAAATTGCATGTACATTTGCCTTGTATTCCATTTGCTTTAGAATCCTTCAAATAGAGGTTTTATGAGAAGGAAACAGTCCCCAAATCAGAAGGAAATAAAAATACATGTGCCATAAATTAAATATAAAGACTGAGAATAATTTCAGGTAAAAAAAAAATCCACCGAAGACAAGGTTGGAAGTTCTTTAGTGCTGGAACGAATCACACTTACAAAGAGATTTTCCCTGAAGATGCACTACTGTTTGTGAAATATTGTCATGAAGCTGTGCTCTGATTCAATAGGAAATAGGGCAAACTTCTATGAGGTACATTAACAAGAGAAAAGCTTATGAGACAGGGAGCAATTGCTGCCTTTCAAAATAAATAGTTTTTCTAGACAGAAGAAATTAAAACCTGCCATCTATATTTTGGACCCAGGAAAAAATGGGTCTGTTTTTGCCAAAACTTTTCAGGTCCTATAGATATAAATGTTAGTGGCTCCCCAGTGATAAGTATACTGCTGAGAACAATTATATGCAATTTACTGAGAATGCAGTAGAACTAGTGAGTTATCCCCTAGATGCCATAGGTCCCAGTGGAATTCCCTTCTAAGGATTGGGAAAAATTGTGTTACTTTGTGTGACAAGTAGGTTAAACTGTCTAATGCTCACTTTAAGTGAACAATGGTTTCTGTTTTTCTGTATAATAATTCTCCAGACAAAATATGAGATTTCCCACTAATATTAGGGGATCAGATAGCAGAGTTGTAGGTTACTACTTGACAATATTGTCTAAAATTGCCATCAACAGCATAAATAAACATTAATACACTGCTATTAATGAACACTCTGTGCCATTTACATAAAAAAATCTGGGTTTTTTTTTTGAGGTTTTCAGGGGTGGGAATTCTTTTTTTTTCCTTTAGTTTTTTTTTTTTCAATTAAGGAGATTTTCCAAGGCTACGTGCTGTCTCATGAGTTATCCAGAAGCCATTTCAAGAAAACCACATGAAGCTTTCCATTTCTCAGGTTGCAGGGTTTGAGTATGCTTCTTTCATCAAAGATTTAATCTATGATAGGAAATACTGGAAGAAAGCAACTATACTGTGTACTGAGCTAAAATTAGAAATGTACACAGACAATTGAAAACCTTTAAATTTGGGAAAACTTGACAGAGAAAAAGCAGTTTAGCTATTTTGTTTATTTGCACTGATAAGATTCTTCTTCTAACCAAAAGTAATCTGTTTTTGATAGTTTTATAATCTCTTTATCAACTGGCTAGTATAACAAGGAGGTGGTACTTGGATGATAATATTATATTTCTCTCATAGTATCTTCTCTAGCATGTGAAGTGGCACCTGCTTATTAGACCCTGACACTTTGTATAAATTAATGTCTTTGCTCATGTGAAGAAATTGCCCTTTTCCGCTGTTGTTAGACAGAATAATGAGCATTTTAGAATGCATTTTCCCCATGGAATCTACAATCTCATGCACACTTGTACAAGGTCTGAGTAAATACAAAATAAGGTCTTTGGAATTTGCCCTGTACAGTTGAGAGATGGGAAAGAACAATTAAATCCCGTTCCAGAGTTGCAATTTATTCCTAAAAGTACATTTTCTGATGCTTTGATGCACCTAGTTGAGTGAATGCTTGGAGTACAGTGGCTTCAAGACCACTGCACATTCTAACAGATTTCACTCTAGTTCTAATTTCAAAGTGGGCTTTGATTTTTTTTCCTGTCTTCGTTTTATGAATAGGAGATTCCATGCTGCATTTTCTGTTTGTTCCTCCCTCCCCTACTTCATTGAGACTTGCTTAATATTTGGCTCTCAGGTCAAATCCCTTGTGGCTCAAATGGTAATCTGTGTTATAATATGCACTGGCATGATCATTAGTGTAAACACATTGCAGTTACAACTTTGACTAAGTAAATTAAAAATGAAAAGAAGAATGACTATATGGGGCAGACTCATGACAAATATTGACAAGAGCAACAAACCAAAGTCACTTATATTAAGTCTATATTTGACCTCATGCTCTTAAATTGCTTCAGTTTTACAGGACTGAGTGATTTACATATAGATCACTGGTTGATAGGAAAATAAAAAAGAAGAGCATGAAGGAAGAGGATGCAGGTACCAGGGATGCAGAAAATGTAGGTTGAAATAATGTAAAAAGTTTTCAAAATATAGGAAAAATAATTTTAGTATTTGTGTTTTCCAACTAGAACTGTGCTGTGCAATGACCCAGAAATGACAATCACACCTGTGAACATCCCAGGAGATACAATCAAACTTCGAATAGAGAAGACTGCCCTCAGGAGAGTGCCAGGGGAGGCTTTCCATTCTCTCCATAATCTGGAATTCCTCTGGATGCCCTATAATTCTTTGGCCAGCCTCAGTGTGATTACTTTTAAGGGTCTTCGTCAGTTACAAGAGCTAAGACTGGATGGGAATGATTTAAGTTCTTTCCCATGGGACTCTCTTGCGGACATGCCCCAGCTAAGGCTTCTGGATTTACATAATAATGAACTCACCTCAGTATCAGCAGAAGCAACTCTTTACATAAAGAATATTACCTATCTGGATCTGTCTAGCAATAAACTGATGACTCTTCCTCAAGCTCTCATTTCAGCCTGGGCAAACCTCCAAGCAGTTCCTTACTTCCCCAATGACAACTCCAAGATCATTATAGGTAAGAGAAATAAATAAGAATGGGGCAAATTAGAACTCCACTGACATATCACTATCAAATGTGAAGCATATAGTAATAGTAGCTTCACTCTAGGAAAAATAAATAATAATGGCAACTCATTGCTGATGTCTGTATGCCCCGGGCAGGGCAAGAGATGTCCTCCTGAAAGTAAGGATTGTTAAAGTTCTTCACATACTTTTTTTTAGATTTCACCAATTCTGCTCCTTATTCAGGCAAACAAGTTACTGCTGGCAAAAAAAAACCTCTTTCTCTCAGGAGGTAACAATGCTGATTTAGCAATAATTTAGTCTACTGTTGTGGCAGAGTTTACCAGCATGGAAATATAGAGCTATATAGAAAGATGTGGTAGACTATTTACCCTAGCATAAAAGCTGGGTCTGCCATTATTGAGTGGGCCATAAAATGACTAGGCTCCACCACCCTAACAGGGACTAGATATAATAATGACTGTTTCCTAGATACCTTAGACAGAAAGACATATTCTTCATGGTATTTTAAGCATACTCAGAAAGGATTGGTAATGAGGATGTAAGCCTCTTGTTCAATGCACCCCAGGTTAGTAGTGACTCAGAGTAATTGATATCTGATGTTTGTTTGTTAGCCTATATTGAGAGTGCTCAGTAGGGCTGTATGAAGCTTCAGTCGCCGATTAGATTCGGAGGAGATTCGGCAGCTGAATCCCCAAATCCAAACTGAATTTAGAGGTCCATTAAAAGGCCTGGATCAAATTTGAAGCCTCTGCATTGATTCAGAAAAGATTTGGAGAGATTTGGAGATTCGGATCAGTCAGGAGGCTGCAGGTTCTCCCGTGGTTCCTCCATCTGTGCCTGCTTCTGCCCTGGTGGGGGAGCCATGGGAGAAGCCCCCATGGCTGCCCTGCCTGGTCCCATCCTCTGCCTGGCCCCAGCTTCCCAGCACTTAAAAAAAAAAAAAGCAAAAAAAAAAAGCAAGCTCTACACTCACTGGCTGCTGTAGCAGTGATTTGGGGCCTCTGAGGGCTCATGGCAGAGCCCCTCCCTGCAGTGGGGGTCAGCGAGGGACAGTGGAGATCACCCCCCCACCTGACTCTTGTATGGCAGCTGTGACATGGTGCGGGTGCAGTATGGCTCAGGAATGCGCTGTATGCTGGTGAGGCCCCCGGGATCTGGGCTGGGGTTGGCCTACTTGCATTTCAGTGCCAGTCTGCTGGAGGATGTGGGCTTCAGGGAGGCCTTCTGAGAGTTCTGGCTGGCCTGGTGGGAGAAATGGGCAGCTTTCCCCTTGACTTGGAGATGGTGGGATGTGGGGAAGGTGCGTATCCGGCTTTTTTACTGCAGCTACACTTGGGGGCACACCCGGCAGAGGGAGACAGTTCGGGAGCAGCTTGAGTGGGAAGTGCTGGAGCTGGAGAGGTGCCTGGCCACTGACCCAACCAGCCCATCCCTCTGTGAAGAGTGTCGGCAGAGGTGGGATGAGCTTTGTGCTCTGGATGACCACCGTGCCTGTGGTGCGTTTGTCCTTTTATGCATCCAGATCCTTCAGGAGATGGACTGTGGCTCCTGCTTCTTATATGCCCTGGAAAGGAGCTATGGTGGGAGGCAAGAAGTACATCACCTGCCTTCTAGTGGGTGACGGCACCCCCCTCACAGATACAGGTGAGCATGGGCCTTCTATGAAGAGCTCTTCTCCCTTGATCCAACCGACGCCAAAGCCTGTCAGACCCTGTGGGAGAGACTCCCACAGGTCAGAGCGGGTGACCAGGACCAGCTAGAGGCTCCTCTCACTCTGGCTGATTTTTTGGCCATCCTCGACCTGATGCCTGGCAACAAGGTACCAGGCATCGATGGGCTGACCGTGGAGTTCTACTGGGCCTTCTGTGATGTCCTTGGCCCAGACTTTGCCGCAGTCTGGGCTGAATCTGAGAGAAGTGGAGAACTCCCCCTGTTGTGCCAGAGGGCTGTGCTGAAACTTCTGCTGAAGAAGGGGGATCCCCAAGACTGAGGAATTGGTGTCCCATGCCCCCCTCTGCACGAACTATAAGGTGGCAGCAAAGGCCATCTCTTGGCAGCCTCCAGGCATCCAGGTATTGGACTCGGCAGCCTCCTCTGCCCAGGTCAACTAGGTCAAGAGCTTTAGCCTGATGGTGGGTGATGGGTGGCAGGTGCACTCACTCCCACCCATGCTCCATGGGATCCGCTGCAGCATGGGGTCACTGCTGTACTTGGGGTCTACCTGTCCCCCATGAACCCCTCCCCACTGGAGAACTGGCACTGGCTAGAGGCAAAGGTGGTGGAGTGGCTGCAGGCATGGGCAGAACTCCTGAAGTGTCTCTCCCTGCATGGGAGAGTGCTGGTGCACCAGGTGGTCCTGTCCGTGCTCAGGCATTGCTTACGCACCCTGCCTGTGCCTCCTGAGTTCCTGGTGGTGCTCCAGAGAGGAGTTTTTCTGGCCAGGATGGCACTAGGTAACTGTGGGAGGTTGGCCATGGCCTGGTTTGCCTGCATAGCCACGTCCTAATGTTCCGCCTTCAGGCCCTGCAGTAACTGCTATATGGTGCTGGTAGCCATGCGGCATAGGGCCACCTGGGGTATGTCTTCTTCTCCCACTTTCATATGACTGGCAGATTCTCGGCCTGTGGGGCTTCTCCCTGAAGGACCTGTGAGGGCTGCCAGATTTCTACCAGGACCTCCTCCGGGCCTGGGGGCTGGTCTCCACCTCCAGATTCCCTGCTACACTTGCCCAGGGCACCAACCTGCTCATCGAGCCCCTCCTTTGGAACCCCCAGCTGGAGATGCCAGTGGCAGAGGCACCCTGGTTGCAACAGAGGTTGATCCTGGCTAGTGTCATCTGTATAGGAGACCACCTGTACTACGATAGGCAGGAGTGGGTGGACCCTGCTGTGTTGGCCCGGCGCATGGGTCTACCCAAGACACGTGAGACCACCTGGCTGGTCCAGGAGGTGAAATCTGCCCTATCTCCTGCTGCCCTTGCCTTTGTTGATGAGGTCCTGTGTGGTGGCAGCCCCCCTCCCCCCGGTGTCCTCCAGCCCACCGGAGTTTGTTGTGGGGCCAGTGCCTCACCCAGCCTTGTGGTGCTCCCCACTTCACCACCTGAGCCAGCTGGAGGACACCAATTTGGTCCGCTTTTCCACCATCCATCACTGCCACCTCTACATGCTCGTGTGCTGCACAATCCATCATGCCACCCTCTCGTCCCACCCAGACACCAAGTGGCGGGACCTACTCGGCAAGGGTGTAGCTAGGGCACCTCAGTGGCTGAGTCTGTACTCCACCCTCATGCCATGAGCCACTGGGGACCTCAGATGGTGGCTCCTATGCCATTGCCATAGGCATGTATGCGGCGAGCTTCACAGATGTCCCAGTCTCCTGTCCCTTCTGTGGGCAGAGGGAGAGCCTGGTGCACATGACACTTGAGTGCACCAGGCTGCAGCCCCTCCACCTCCACCTCCAGAACCTCCTCCTGAGCTTCTGGTTGAACTTCACCCTGCACCTTTTTATTTTTGGTCACCCCCTTCGTGGCCTCACCAAGTCCTGGAACCTCCTGGTCAACCTCTTCCTGGCCCTGGTCAAGTGGGCCCTGTACATGACCAGGAAGGAGGCTGTGGCTGAGAAGGTGCCCGAGGACTGAAGGGTCACTTTCCTTTCACTTGTCCATGCATGTTTCCTGGCAGAGCACCACTGGGTGGCATCCACCAACTCCTTGGATGCCTTTGAGGACTGGTGGATGTGTCCCTGGGGGCTCTGCTTGGTGTCCCCCTCAGGTGCACTTATTTTCATGTTTTGAGCCTTTGACCCACACCATAGTCCTATCCTGTTTTTTTCATTAGTTGTCACAAGAATTTAGTTGTACCACTCATTCATTAGCCCCACATGGGGTTACTAGTTAGCCAGGTAGGCCTTAGGGCCTATGGTATGAGTGTTATAAATAAACAGGAGCTTTTGAGGCATGGCCAGTTGGTGTCTGGGGACACTAGTGCCTTGTGCCAGCTGGATGACTGGAGTGACCTGGAGTGACCCCTGCACCCTCTACCCACTGCAGCAGTCTGGCAGTGGAGGATGCTGCCTGGCTGTGACTTGCTGCCACCTGTGACAGCATCTGCCACCTTGGACCTGTAGCCCCATGGCTGCAATCCTGCCAGACCCAGATGGGGACTGCACAACTGCCTGGGCTGTGGTATGGGCACTGCAGCAGAGCATCCTGCAACTCTGGGCCAGCTGCCAGTGGGCTATGGTCGCACAGTTGCCCTTTGTGAGGCACTGTTGTTATGTCTTCTGGTGCCCTGTATCTGCTATCTGGGCAGCTATTGCCCAGAAGTTTGTGCCCATTTCAATGGTCCACTTTGGACTGTCAAAGCATTTCTCCTGGCCCCAAATGGCCAGGAGGCCAGCCACCTCATTTGCCCTCCAGCTGGGTCCCCAGTGCTCGTTCTGGACAGGCTTCTCTGATGGGTCCTGCCACTTGCCTCACCAGCAGAGATCCTGGTGTTCCCTGTTTAAAAATTGCAAATTCTCTGATAAAAACCCCACATCCTCTCATTAAAAGACACAAAATCTGTGTTCTTCTGCAATTCAAATGGAATGCCACTATATATAGAGAGCAGTTTGGCAACATTTCATTGATATATATTATAATTTTAAAGCGATTTGGAAGCCTACCAGTGCCTCTATCACTATAGTAAAATGAATTCTAAATATCTATACATTTTGGCATTGGCTTTTGGGTTTTTTTGTCATAGAAGAATCACAGGTGCCCCTACCCCTTTCCTCACCAGGATATGGGGCACTAAGCAGAACTGGGATGCCAGTGCCCTGTCCATGCCCTTGCTCCTCACTCCCAACCCACAGCCCCTGCTGCCCGCCACTAGCTCCCTCCTGGCAGCAGCTCTGTTCTAGCACCAGGACATGAGTATAGCTGCAGCTGTCTCACTGGCTGCTTTGTGGCTCTGAACAGTGTCTGCCCTTGCTGTTCTGCTCCCTGTG